GACAAGATCGCAATTCGAATCGTATTTCATAAGTGCAAAAGAAATTATAATATTGCATGCACAGATTTTTTCCAAGCAACAGTAATAACTTGATCGCGTTGTTGTTATATAATGGGCATGTTCGATACGCTTATCTAACGCTTAATTAAGCGAGAATGTAGTCTCGAGTGTTATAAATAGTGTTCGAGCGTATAACTGTTTAAGTCCCGCTCACAATAAAAGAATTACGTAATTTACCTCGATATCTGGATTCGCGGTTTTCGCGTCTGCCATCGGCACTATGGCTACCGACATCGCGACCCTGAGACTGTACCCCATGGTCATGCCCAGGAACAGTAACACCGCCTGTACATGTCTGACCCCGAAGATACCTGCGGAAAGATCGTCCTTTTATCTCAGTAGCAAACGGATCGCATCAATATTCGCGAAAACGTCTTGAGAATATCGTATTTTTCAATTGCCCATATTTGGAAAAATTATTATTATTATTTATATTATTATAGGCTGTAAGATCACCGAAGAATCTTTTATTACAGATTGTCCCGCCCTAAGAAAGTGTCATTATTTCTTTTTTATTTCTTAAACTTTAAGTAGAGGGACCAATAAAGTTTATTCAATCATACAAAAAAAGTTAACACGCTGTTATTTAATAAAAATACCTGAGAAAAAAACTAACAAAAATATTTCTTAATAATAGATTCACAAATTAATGGCGATATAATAAATAGCGTCTTCGAGTGAAGCAATTTTGATCGCTCTGAAAATGATTAATGACGTCATAAACTCCGTCTTTACTAGGAGTACTTGGATTATTAGATTAATCAATGAAATATTTCGAGTAAGCATTTGATTGATCAAATCAAAGAATCTTGTGCTTTAAAATCAAAATAGCATCAAACGAGATATATTTTATATTATTTATATTATTAATATATTATTTATATTAATCAGATTCAAAACCCTTTTTCATGTTCATGGCAAATTGCTTTACTCGAAAATGCTGAAAGATTTAATAAATTATATGTAACAAAAACAATTGCCAAATAGAAAGCTCTCTCTTGACAGAAAAAATTTTAAATTACAAAACTTTTGCACAATTTCTGAATAAATCCTACTAATAATTAAAACCCATATATTAGTCTCAAAAAACGTTACAATTTGTATTTTTTATATTAAGCTATCCATATTATTAATAAAGAATTGCAGCTGCTTCTCTATTCTTCAAAAAAGACAACTTATACGAGAAAAAATTCTTATGATAGAATTCAATTAAATTTGAGCTCTTTATTTGATCTTTATAATATAAATACTTTAATTTAAGAAATAAAGGAAAGTGGGACACATACTTATATACAGGATACTATAATTTACAAATATTTTTATATAACTATTTATATTTTACAAATTTTTAAAAAAATCCTAAAATTTAATTTGTTAAAAGATTAAAAACGTACGTACACATACGAGGATTATCGTTTATAAGTTTTATTGATTGCTTGGATGAAATTTCAACGAAGGAGATAAAGCCGGTCGAACGAGGATCAATCTAGTCGAAAGCGCATTGTTTTTATGCAATGTTAATATCTAATTTAACAATATCATCGAGTTATGTATAAACGACAAGAAGTATGAACGAATGTTAAGTTATGACTTTAAAAACTCGTAAATAACAACGCAATAAAGTGTTAATTGTAATAGCAAATGATCACGATAAATTGTTATAATAATAACAAAAGATAATGATAATTTGAAACAATTTTCAATGTTTCAAAGGATCGGCTAGAACTTTTTCAGGGAGCTTTTATACTCAAAGAAGGAACACTCATTAAATTATGACATATAATTTCCGAGTCACATTTCGCACACGCAGTTATCTATCCTAATCTCGCGCGATAATGTAAGAATAACGAATTTTAATCAGCGTTATTGTAAATATATCACCGAATCTCGAAGGAGAATTCCGCTGTAAACAAACCATGGAAGACCCACTCATGATGTAAGAAAGCATAAAAAAAAAACATAAACATGTGTATTTTCTTACATCATGGGTTTACTGACAAACAAATATATAAACATAAAAAAGAATATGTATTACTAAATCAGGACAAGGAGAGTGCCGATATTAAGAAAAGAGAGAGAATACAGGCCCATTCGGTTTGATTCAATTCGGCTCACAGCTATTTGTCTTTCGCAATATTTGTGTGTATCTATCAAATTATGGATATGCGCCTTACATAGAAAAAAAACAAACAAACAAAATAGCTATAAACCGAATGATAGCAAGTCAAATCGAATGTATCGAAGTATCTATGCATGTATGTGTGTGTGTAAATATAAGACTGCGTCTAATTATTTCTAAAATCGATTAAGGGAAGGAGGGATCATGTTTTCGACATAAAATCGTTTACATTTACAGGAAAAACTTTCTCCGACGAATTAAAAACAATTTGCGATAACGTTCGCATATATCGCTTATAATCTCTTCGATCGGAGAGATGAGTGTCGAGATTTATACTATCAATATCAATTAATCACTTAACACATGATAAAATATCAGTTCCTATAATTTATATTTTTAATCAAAGAGGGAGAATAAGTATTTTTACAAATCAACAAGAGAGAGGGAGAGAGAGAGATTTCTTTTATAAGTGTCACGACTTTGATTGAAATTAACATGCCTGCATGCTAATTCACCGTAACAAAGTCGTTGTGTTAATCGCCCTGTAATTGCACCGCACACGTATAATTATGCAAGTAACGATGGTATGTCGTATGATAAGATAGCAGAGCGAAGGAAGAATGCGAGGATAACGCGAAAAGCTATATTATTGAATAATTTCCTTGAGAAAAGATTGTCTTGAAATTTATTATAAATCTTATATGATTTTTACTAATATTAAAAATTTGATTTAATTATCATAATTAATTCGCTCATACCGTGACATTGTAAATTTAATTAAATAAAATATTAAGCAAAAACATAAGGACACAAAATATAAAATATAAGGACACAGGAATAAATAATATACGAAGTTTTAGACATTGCACAGCTGTATCCAATAATTTGCAAAGAACATATCAACATGAATAATTGCTTTATATTTATTAGAAATAAATGATGATAAAGAAATGTGAAATATCAGACTAGATTGATAAATACTAAATTTTTAGATAATATTTTAGATAAAACAAACAATGGCGTGATGCACTACCGCTCATCGACGATCTAAATACGATTCGATAAGATACAGAGATAATTGCATGAAGATAAACCGCGATGCGAAGATAAACGCTATTTGTAATGCGTAATTAATAGAGATCTATATACAAAAAATCTTAATCGTTAATGTGATTATTTAATAATCACAATATAAAAAAATAATAATT